TTCATTTCAAACGTTTGTAGATTTTGTAGAAAAGGAAGCAATCATAGCAAACGACCCGGTAACGTCGATACAGTCGGTTAGATCAGAAACTACGAATAGCACTAGTGACAAGTTTAAGACAAATCGATTTCAGCGTGGTAAATATGATAATCAGCGTAGAAACGTTCTTGCAACAGAAACTTCGCGAGTGCCTGATAAAAACAATAACAGTTACAACAAGGATCAAACATGTACATTCTGTAAGAAAACTGGTCATTTCATCGATTCATGTTATCAGTTTCTTGGGAAATCAGTGAACGAGCGAAAGAACTTTGCGAAAGAACTTTGCGAAAGAAAAGGGACTTTGTTTTGGTTGTCTTGGGTACGGACATACATCGAAGAAATGTCAAAAACGTAAAAAGTGTGAGGTATGTTCAAGGTTTCATCCGACGTCTTTACATGGTGACTTTCAAAAACCGATCATTTCCGTCAACAAGGATAAACCGTTCGAAACTGGCTCCGTGGAAAATTGTAAGTCACAGACCGGAGCCGTATTCATGAACAATACAAAAGCAAGTTGCAAAAGTTCTATGATTGTGCCAGTTTATGTGTCGCATTCAGACGATCCCGAGAATGAAAGACTCGTTTATGCTTTACTAGACACACAGTCGGACACTACTTTTGTTTTAGATGAAACACGCCGTGCGTTAGGACTCAGTGGAACAGATGTTAAACTCTCACTTTCTACAATGCATGCAGAAAATCATATAGTTGACAGTCGTAAAATAAAAGGTCTAATGGTTAGGGGATTTGACAGTGAAGTTAAAATAACGCTTCCAAACGTATTTACACGTGACATCATGCCAGCAAACCGATCTCATATTCCGACAGCTGATATGGCACGTCGATGGTCATATTTAGAACACCTTGCAGGAAAGTTGATGCCCGTCAGAGATTGTGAGTTTGGACTATTGATTGGTTACAATTGTCCTCGTGCACTTATTCCACGTGAGGTCATACCTTCAATTGATAACGGACCGTATGGACAAAAAACAGATTTAGGATGGGGAATCGTTGGTATTGTTGATCCCTTGCAAATAGACAACTGCGACTTGATAGGATTCAGTCACCGAACTCTAGCTCTCGAGGTTCCGAATGAGTTATCGATTAGAGGAAATAAAAGTAGAGATCCAGAACATGTTTACTTTTCGTTTGGTTCGAGCGTTAAGGAAATAATTCCAAGTGAAGTCGCCCGCATGATGGAACTTGACTTTTCAGATAGAAACATTGACAAGATTTCATTTTCTTTTGATGATAAAAGATTCATTTCTATTCTTAATGAAGGAATAAGTGTTGAAAATGGACATTATGTTATGCCACTGCCGTTTAAAGATAAAAACCCGCCTATTCTACCGAACAACAAGAATATTGCAGTAACACGTTTAAATCAATTGAAAGGACGTCTTCAGAGGGATAAAACATATCGTAATCATTATTTTACAAGCATGAATGACTTTATCGAAAAGGGATATGTAGAAAAGGTTGAATCGTCTGAACAGGATATCGATGGTCATGTATGGTATATACCTCATCATGGGGTATACCATCCCCAAAAACCTGACAAGGTGCGTGTTGTATTTGACTGTAGTGCTAGATATCAAGATCATTCTTTGAATGATCATTTGCTACAAGGACCTGACCTAACGAACACTCTTATTGGAGTACTGTGTAGATTTCGGAAAGAACAAATCGCCGTGAATTGTGATATTGAACAAATGTTTCTTCAGTTCAACGTTAATAAAGATCATAGAGACTATTTAAGATTTTTGTGGTGGAAAGACGACAATCTTCATGGAGATCCTATAGAATATCGTATGAACGTACACTTATTTGGAGCCGCTTCATCTCCGGGTTGTGCCAACTTTGGTCTGAAAAGAGTTGCTGACGATTACGAAGATGAGTTTGGATCAGATATTTCAGACTTTTTGCGAAATGATTTTTACGTAGATGACGGTTTGAAGTCTGTTGCTTCCGTCGATGACGCTGTAAGCTTAGTCAAACGAAGTCAGGATATGTGTAACAAAGGAGGTTTAAGATTGCACAAGTTTCAGTCAAACTCAAAAGACGTTTTGAATCAAATACCGATCGAAGATAGAGCAAAGGGTCTAAAGAACTTAGATTTATTAAATGACAAACTGCCGATTACAAAGACTCTAGGCATACAGTGGTGTATCGAATCCGATTCTTTTCAATTTCGCATTGAACTTACGAATAAACCACTCACGAGACGAGGAATACTTTCAACGTTAAGTTCCGTGTATGATCCCTTGGGATTTCTTTCTCCTTTCGTACTTCTTGGAAAACAGATTCTACAAGAATGTTGTAGCGATCAAATTGATTGGGACGAACCGCCTTCTGAAACTTTGATACAAAGATGGCAACAGTGGCGAAATGACATTCAGAATCTAGCGCAGCTAGGCATTCAGAGATGTGTAAAACCGAAAGACTTTGGAAATATAACAGTATGCGAACTTCATCATTTTTCTGATGCTAGCACTTTAGGTTATGGACAATGCTCGTACCTCCGATTAATTGATGAAAATGGACTTATTCATTGTACACTTCTAATGGGAAAAGCCAGAGTTACTCCACGTCGTTCATTAACAATTCCTCGTTTGGAATTGTCAGCCGCTCTAGTATCAGTCAGAATAAGTCAACCACTGAAACAAGAACTTCGATACGAGAACGTTACTGAGTGGTTTTGGACTGATAGCAATATCGTTCTCGGTTATATTGCGAACGACAACCGAAGATTTTATGTATTTGTAGCAAATCGAGTGCAACAGATTAGAGAACACTCTAGTCCATCACAGTGGAAATATGTAGACACGAAGGAAAACCCTGCAGATGTAGCCTCACGAGGGGCAAGTGCAAATGATTTGGTGACGAACTCGAATTGGTTTACCGGACCGAAATTTTTATGGACACTTCAATCATTCGACGCAGATGCGAATAAACCCGATTTGACACTTAATGACCCCGAAATACGGATGGTGAAAGCATTTTCTACTAAGATGGATGTTATTGAATTTGCGTCTCTGATTGAACGCTTGGAATATTTTTCTAATTGGAATCACGCAAAGCGAGCCGTTAGCATTTGCTTAAAACTAAAGGACACACTTCGATCACAGAATAAGAGTAAAAACAATTCACCCGAGAGTAAATTGTGCGTAAACGACATGCAACGTGCAGAGATTGAAATTATCATTTAACGAAGAAATAGTTGTTTTACAATCGATTGGTGTAGGTAAAACCTATGAAGATAGACATTCAACCCGAATTCGAAATGTTAATTTGAAACAAACGTCATCATTATACAAGTTAGACCCGTTTCTAGATTCGGATGGAATTATTAGAGTTGGTGGTCGTATTCGACGAGCCGAGTATAACTTAGCAGTTAAACATCCAGTGATCATTCCAAGACATTCACACGTAACAGAACTAATCATACGACATTTCCACGAGAAAGCCGAACACCAAGGAAGAGGCATGACAATAAATGAAATACGTGCGAACGGATTTTGGATAATTGGTTGTAGTACTGCCGTTTCTAAATATCTATCAACATGCGTTACTTGTAGAAAACATAGAAGTAATACTCAAGAACAGAAAATGGCTGACTTACCGATTGACAGACTTCATCCGGTACCGCCTTTCACTTATAGCGGAGTTGATTTGTTTGGACCGTGGTACATTAAAGAAGGACGTAAAGAACTTAAACGCTATGGTGTCTTGTTTACGTGTCTATCATGCCGAGGAGTACATATAGAGACAGCAAATTCTCTTGATACCAGTTCATTCATAAACGCGTTGCGTAGATTTATAGCCATACGTGGCCCTGTAAGACATCTAAGATCAGATAGAGGAAGCAATTTTGTAGGTGCGGAACGAGAATTGCGGGAAGCTTATTCAGAAATGGACGATAAAAGTATAAGACAATTTCTTTCGAATGAAGGGTGTGATTTTGTAGAGTTCAAAATGAATGTCCCATCTGCTAGTCATATGGGTGGAGTTTGGGAACGCCAAATCCGGTCAGTTAGAAATGTTCTTGCGTCACTAATGCATCAATCTGGTACACAATTGGACGATGAATCTTTGAGAACTTTTATGTGCGAAGCCGCAGCAATTGTGAACAGCCGTCCTTTAACTCTTGGCAATTTGAATGATCCCTTATCAGAGGAACCCGTAACGCCAAATCAAATACTTACGATGAAGTCGAAGATTATTCTTCCTCCGCCTGGACAATTTCAAAGAAGTGATATTTACTCTCGAAAACGCTGGAGGCGAGTTCAGTTCTTAGCAAACGAGTTTTGGAATAGATGGAGAAAGGAGTATTTGTCTAATCTACAATCTAGAAAGAAGTGGACTGCTCCGAGACGAAATTTGAAAGTCGGCGATAAAGTAATAATCAAAGATGAACAAGCCGCGCGAAATCAGTGGCATCTTGGGAAGATCAACACAGCACACGTAGATGAGGATGGGCTTGTTAGAAAAGTGCGGGTTACGATAGGTGCTCAAATTGACAATAATGGAAGGAGGAAGTCACCTCTTCAGGAATTAGATAGGCCGATTCAGAAATTAGTGTCAATATTAGAAGTAGGGGAAACCGAGGAAGTCCCCACCGAGGAGCTTGATGACATTTAGGATGCGATGTCCATAATGGTAGTATAGTGGATATAAGACTTTTTGATATTTTGAAAAATTAAACATTAATTTTGGGGAGCCATGTTACCGTCGTACATTGATTAAGAGTAAGATACATATTACGATTAGAAGCTAAGTAGTAAATCGGCGTTTCTTTCCCCGATACATCAGATTCCTGTAAACGAATCACGATGCTACACAAATTTTTACATGTTAATGGCCCAAAGAGGTAATTTGAACGTTATTAATGTAATAAATGTCTTTTAATATGCATAATTGATATATTCGCATAGTCATAAGGATATTTGTTAGGTTATACTGCGATTTGTTTATATATTTGGTGTGCAACAGGGTTTTGCATTGAAAATTATTTATGGTTCTTTTTTGTTTACTTTCAGTTCTTACGTAAACCTGCGAAACAACGTATACTAGTCCATGAACTTTGTATAATGTTAGACAACTGGGTGAATGTATGCGATGCACTGTATGTTTATTTGACAATTGCGACATGAATAAAGTATCAGAACTTTCAGTGTATTATTTTGCGACGCCCACAGCTACAAATGTTTTTTAAGAACATTAATCCTTAATAATAGTGTGTTAGTTATTATAACATTCAATAAATTTATTGATACTAAACATCGAGATGTAAGAATAGAACATTGAGAACAGGTAGAAATACAATTACAGTAGAGGCAACACACATTGCCTAATGCAAAAAAACAGAAAGACATTGGAAGGAACATAAACTTGCATACCTTGTAATTAAGAATAAGTAGAACGCGTTAACCTTTATCATAATTTCTAATGTTCACAAAATGTTAAGCAATGACACATCATTACATACATTTTTGAATATCGAATTATTTATTTGCAAAGTTATGGCTTTTAGTGCAAAATAACATCAACATAACAATAAGCTTTTTTGCTTTAGACTTTGTCATTAACTTTTGAATATATACTCAAAAAAATATTTTGGTCGAAAATGTATGGTATCGAGATGCTAATAGGCATAACATTGTTTTGGATACGACCTTGGCGTTTGTTTGTCTTGATCAAAACCTGTTTTAAAATGTAAGATATCAGATCAAATTATTCAATCTCAAAAGTGACTTTTCTGCACAAGTGTTAAGATTATATCAACCTCGTTTACCCATCATTTTGAAAGGTTTGAAAATATTAGAATGGTTGCAATTAAATTGGCCAAAATAACGGGTCTTATTCAACTGTAATATTGTACTCTTATGCGTTATTCATTATTTCATAAACATTGTTTTATAAATCTAATGTTGTTTTTTTTTTCTTAAAATGTACCAACTATTCTTTTAACATCAAAATTGATACTACAAAATGTTTGATCATCTAGGAAACAATTGTTCATTCTGAATTACACTTCTTTTAAAATGAATAACTTCTTGAATAAAAAAGTTGTTTCAGGAATCGTTTAGAAATATTGAAAGACCTAATTGATTATGCAACAAACTCATTGATCATATGGAAACTGTATTTAATCCTAACACTTCTTATTCTTTAAAGTGGCACAGCTGTCAAATTCATGTACATCGATTTGATTTAAGGTGGGTCGAGGGTATAAATCATTTTTTTTTTTTAATATAGGATTTCGCTATTTTTTTTCTATAAATGAACTTGATCATATACTTAATAGAAAAATAAAATAAAATAATGGGGTTACCGTTCATTTAAGCTCACAATCTGCCTTCGAAAGAAGCATGCATTTTTGGTAAGGTACTTTTTTTTCTGTTGCACTAATAGGCGAAACAGACGTCATATCAAAATATAAAAAGAACTAAATTACAGAAATCGCTTACATTTTACAATTATATAGTTTAAGTACAGCTTATTTAAAAAAAATAATTAAAAAAAAATGTCACCGATGAGTTAAAAAAGATATTTCAGTTTTAATGCAAACTAATGGCATTTTTTGCACCAAAGGGAGATAATTTAGAGATTTTTCAATGATATAAACATTTTAGAAGTCATCTGGACCGAAACAAATCGATTTTTTTGGCTGATTTTTGTACCATAGCATAAAGTAACATATTTGATTTATAACGTACTGGAACGTATATTTAAATTACAATAAGTCTGAAATAAACAGTTAATAAAGCATGTATTCATAATATTTATCTGAATTTCGTGTGTATTTTAGTCTAGACGCCATCTCATCTACTATTGAGATGACCACCGGAGACTGCCGATTGTCATATAACCTGATATAAACATAATCATAAACATAAATAAATAGCAACATCGTGCATTAGGTTTTTTCAAGTTCTGTTTGATTTTATTTTATAGGTTAGATAAAAAGTTAATTATCGTTGTACCTGTATAAGAATGATTTTAACGTATTGTGGATAGAATCAGTCAACGAAATGGTTCACCTTTGTATCACTTTCAATGTTGACATTCCTCTCCTTGTAATCTAAGCTATTGGGTTAAATTGAAGGTCACATGAATACAGATTCAATGTGGCCGAATTATTCACTTGCATGTGAATGATTCATCAGCAATGTTTCTTTGCTGATTTTGACCAAATAAACTAAATTGGTTGGTAAAAACGAATTATTATTTCATCATTTCACTTATATAAATGATTGAACCAAACAAAATCATTTTCTATTTTGTTCATATCTCGTAGCTAGTGCCCCTTTAAAATAGATGTTTGTCTGATCAGAAAGGTGCATTTTATTGCATACGTTTGTCATCTAATATCTAATATGAGTTTATACTTTACAGTGAATGACTAAATTAGAGTGGTTGCTATTCAGTAATTTTACCAAAAAAATGTGTATTAGACTAAGGTTAACAATAAATAAAACATTAAACATGTTAAACCAATTGAAATTTTTATTTCTTTTTTTAGGTATCACTGCTACAAATAGGTCAATAGATTTTGAATGGGATTTCAGCGAAGGCATGGTTATTTTTAAATGCATGGTTGACAAACCTGGAAATGGAATTTTTATTTACAATTCAAAGGATGATACTGTAGCATTTTGTCATGTTGTTTTTACAATTTCTTGTGAAAGTGTAGCTGGTTATGGTCATATTGACTACGACAACAGTACAAATACAACGGTATTTGAAGTAAAAGTCGAAGAAACGGATGTTAACAGAAATTGGACCTGTGCAAATGGACGCGGCAAAAAAGATCCTAGATTTTCGGTGTCTGTTGAAATACGTAAGAAATATAACACTAATTAAAATAAGCAATATAAATAATTCAAGTACTTCAAACTGAGTCAAAAGATGAAAAAAAAAACCAAACACAAGTGACTGTGCGACAAAACCCAAACCTAAAACTGTTCAGAAAAAGTAAGAGAGACCGGTTCCACATTTTAATGAAATATTTTGTATTCACACAGATTGTATAACGTATTATTAATCTCTGTGTCCATTTTTTACAACAAATTTTGGAAAATTTTTCAAATCTGTCTAATTTTAAAACTTAGGAATAACCGTCGTTGTCATATGATTAAATACGCATCTGCCATAAAGTATATTGTATATAGTTTGAAAGCATCTCTTTCAGAAATTTGTTTCGTTTAATTGCTGACAAAACAGATGGTTATAGCTCGAACAGATGTTTCGGAGAGTATTTGTCATATCTAACAATTTTGTTCTGTGATAAGGACGCTAAAAATATTTCGTATTAGATTTTTGTAGATGAATGTGTTTCTTGGTTCAGGTACTAGTACTTTAAATCTGCCTGTATTTGAAGCATTACAGTATATATATTTGTTTTCAAATTCTTAATCTTGAACATATTGTCTGTAAGTATACCTTTACATGATGGACACATATCTACAACTGACTATTTTCCATGAACAAGGACTTTTATCTATCACTAAAAATTAAAACAATGGTCTTTGATATTATGCAAAGCCAACTTGATATTTTTCGTTTTATGAAACATAGTTTATGTGTCAGTTGGCTTTTGAACTAACTACCATTAATTGCGCGTACTCTTAGTACAACTATATTAGTTAATTCCGTATCAATTTATATTTGCAAATTCACTGTTTACGTTTACTTTGTGCCGGTACTAGATTATCCAAAGTTAGCAAAAATGCCTTACCTCATGTACTGTTAACCAGTTTCGGCCAAAGAGCATTTAATCTGGTAATTGTCGTTGGTTGCTAGCTGCAATATTAGTTTTACGTTTTTTATTTCATGACGCAATACAGAACCTGATACTAATATACTATTATATACTGATAAGTTTATCGTTACTTACGTTTTTATTTTGTTTTTCCTTAGCTAAATCAAAGACATTAAAAATGAAAGGTAAGTAACATAATAAGTGCATAGTCAGTTTATTTCGACTTATGATTTTTGAATATCCGTCTGGTATTTTTTTGTCTCTCTGTTTAGTATTTAGGCAAATTTTCTTCTTGTAAATGTTTACAGAAAGGAAAATTCCGCACCCGGAGGCATGCTTCAGCTGGCTAATAATAAAAATGGGTGCAACGCTTAACTCAAAGACATGTAAGCATGAAAAACGAATCAAAATAGAAAAAGAAATTCAAGACTGACAATGGGCCAACGTTCCGGATTTGCGACACATAAATCCGACGAGGTTAAAATGGATTTGTGAGATCTCAATAAGTAAATCAATATTTATCATGAAAACTAAAATCCTCAATGACCGGACAATAGTAGCATAAGTATATCCTTTCTGTTTAAAGGTTTGTACGGATATTAGGAGAATAACGACATGTTTTGAACGTTGAATATAATATTTATTACCACGACGTCCGTGATACCAAAAACCCCTGTGTAATATTTTTTGACGGACAATTCATTCGTTATTAAAGATTCTTACATCGTATTAGTGCATTATCGGATATATGCAATCGACATATTTAAAGTATCGAATTTTAAAGCTCGAGCCTTAAGGGCGGACTTTGAAATTGTTAAGTTAAACTTAAGTACATTTATCGAAATTTGATAAATCCGACAATACACGAGTATCTATGTACATGTAAGAGTATAATTATGTAATAATTATCAAATAATTTTTCATCGTCGATGATCGAAAATCGCCGTTGAGGGCATTCCACATACCTAAATTTGTTAATTTAATTACCACCTGTTCGGACATTTGACACAATCCAGTGAGTTGATCAATGGTAATCAAAACTAATCCAATCATCAGTGACGCTCAGATCAAATAGTGATAAAGCCAAACAAGTACAAAGTTGAAGAGCATTGAGGACCGAAAATTCCCAAAAGATGTGTTATACAAATGATCCTGGAAATGGTTGAATTGCCAAAACATTTGAAATCGCAAGAAAATGGTACCTTCTTAAAATGTATAATAAACAATAGAAAATGAAAAATCATATCTTTTATCGTATTTTTTTTTTTTGCAACAAGCTTCTGGTTAAATATACTGATATTTATATTATATTCCCGTTAAATATATACATATCAAGATCCAGGAAAGGGCAGTGTTCATTATTAGTGATAACTTAATTTAAAGCCAGTTCAGCATGATAGTTTTCTTTAGTTTACATACTAAATAGATATAAGAAGATGTGGTATGAGTGCCAATGAGACAACTCTCCATCCAAGTCAAAATTTATAAAAATAAACAATTATAGGTCACAGTACGGTCTTCAACACGGAGCCTTGGCTCACACCGAACAGTAAGCTATAAAGGGCCCCAAAAAAATTACTAGTGTAAAACCATTCAAACGGGAAAACCAACGGTCTAATCTATATAAAAAACGAGAAACGAGAAACACTTATGAACCACATCAACAAACGACAACTACTGAACATCAGATTCCTGACTTAGGACAGGTGCAAACAAATGCAGCGGGGTTAAACGTTTTAATGGTACCAAACTTCACCCTTTTTCTGAAACAAAAGTGTAACATCACAACATAGAAAGACACACTATAAAATATCAACTGAAATAGCTTAACTAAATCAAAGGACATATTAACACCATTGAACATACACTGAACGAATAAATTTGACCTATGACACAATGTAAATACAAAATAAATAAGGGAAGAATAATAAAAGTAACATGTTATATCGGTAAGAAATGTTAAACAATTAAAGAAAAACAATATGCTCGAACAAAAATATCAGCCATTTGCAATAACTTTAAACAGAGGTAAATGAAAATAATTTTGTTGTTAGGTATACGTGTACAGTACCAATAGAGAAAGGAAATATTTTTACAAAATAAATAATTTTGATGTTCATAGTACGAAGTGAAAATTTATAGTTTTACCAAACACTTATCAAAGCTGGTATATAGACCAGATATAAACCTGAATAACATTAAATAACAAAAAAGCAATACAATTAGTATCAACAGGTCAAATAAACAAGAACGTACAATTTGAGAGTACTCGCAGTTACTGACAGCTAGTTAAAAGCCAAAACAATTAATAATAAAAAATCATGCATCAGAGACTAAAATCAACTAAAACACATCCCAGGGATTTAGTATTTTAACGTCATGAACAGTCGAAGAAGACATGACTAGTGCAATGCCAAAAATAAATGTATCGACAGACAGTAGGATAGTTAGGAGTTTAACCTCTTTATAGATCTAAACGAACGTGGGTGCGTCTTTATACATCCCGCTTGAAAAAAATACAAATTTAGTTATGTTTTAATTTGCTGATGACAAAATCGATATTAGTGCCAATGTAAACTATATTCAAAGATCTAATTACAACATTGGTAAGATAACCTTTACTAATAAGTTTGTTTAAAGGTTCGATGAGTTTACACGGATCACATAGTGATTTCCGCGCTTTAAGTACAATATTACCGTAAAATTTAAGATGTGAAATACCGTTTTAATCAGTTTTCTACAACTACAGCCAAATTTACTAATCAAATCTTTGTATCTATGAAAGAACTTAGCAAAAGTTTTATGTAATTTATGGTAACGAAATCCTTGATTTAATAATTTACCAGTGATGCATTGATTACGTTCGTTAAAATCTATGACATCACTAAGTCTTCTTTAATGAAAGCCTGTATATCCTCCAAATATATTAAAATGTAAACATCCTTTTGTATTAGATCTTGTTTTAAAGGATCCTTGCTGGTGTTAAGCTAAAATTATAACTCGTTACAATAGAAATACAAGTCCGCAATACTTTGGCACAATTGAATATCCGATAAATTGACGATATAAGGAATGACCATAGCAAACACAAATATTATCTAGTAAGATTCAACTGCAGTTATCATGGTTATCGTTTCGAAGTAGGTCCAATTGACATAGTTTTTTCGTGTGTTGATACTAAATAAAACCCATAAGAGTTAGAACAGATATATTTGCATTATGACTTTAAAATGTCAATTTTATTTGGAATATGATTTTATTATCATTGAGATTTTGAGGCAAAGTTGTATATATGGTAGAGAATTTAAAAAAAAAAGATATCGAAATCACAAATAAATGCAGTATGACCATGCTATTTTTTAAGTACTTCCATTGCATTTTGATACACAAAAGCAATTAATATCATTGTTTTTCAATGCCTTATTATACAATTTATTACCATTTTATTTACTGTACCAAGTGAACTTGTGAGTAAAAAAGAATATTATTAGTAGTTCAAGAATCACTTCAAACCAGTAAAAGTCTGAAATAGCCTATATCTGTACTCGACTGTACTGATTTTTTCTCGACAAGCAAAAGTAAGATGGTGGCATTATTACAAGCTTCAAATGTAAATCCGTTGAACGACACATGCTCCTTGGAACCTTTAGTTTCTGTAACTATTTTAGCATCAGACTTGGACGTTTTTAAACTGAATTTTACTGTGCGTATTGGTGTGTTTGATTTATTCCGAATTGGCTAGAAATATATGGGGATGTTTGATGATTTCACAAAACATGTTCAATCCCGTCACATTTTTGCTACTGTCCTAAGTCAGGAACCTCTTGCCTTTGTCAGTCCTGTGTGCTTGAATTTTGGTTCATTTATATGTTTCGGATTGTAGTGTGGGTTAGATTTTGCTGATTGCGTATACATTACTTTTAGACAGCCAGCTGTAGGCCGCCTTTTGTGGGATTTGTACACTGCGCTGAAGATCAATTGGTAGTATTGAGGTTGTTTACTTTTTGATTAGCTTGTTGTCTCTTTGACACATTCCTTGCTTCCATCCTGTATTCCATATCATTTCAAATATAGATTGGTTAGGCAAACAATATTCCAAACGGCATGTTTTATATACAAATGTAAAATTCTTTTATACATCAACATAAACGGTACCATTTTTTCATGGAATATATGCACCGATGTGTCATCAATAACAAATGAATAATGCGCGAGATCTATTTATCAAAAGTCCGAAACTAAAGCATTTCGAGCAATTCTGACGTGAGGTAAAATTGTTTATCAGGTTAAGAAATTTTCAGACGAATCAGACAACCCGTTGTTGGGTTGCTGCATCTGAATTAGTAATTTGTCGAAATTTAGCAGTTTTGGTTACTGTCTTGAATATTATTATATATAGAGATAAACTGTAAGCAGCAATGCTGTGAAGCAAAGCAATATCTACAAATAAATCACCACGACAAAAGTTGATAATTGACCCTTTAAGGAGTTTATATTGCCCTCTAAAATCAATGTTTAACAATTTTTCGTAAATTTTTGTAATCTCTTTGAAAAATCTTTATTTCTGAAACTACTGAGTCAAATTTAACCAAACTAGGCCACACTCATCATTATGATATCTAGTTTAAAAATCAAACGTAATTATCAACCACCGTAATGAGCGAAAAGCAAGTCTCATATTCCTTACAGTTCACTGGCATTAACAATCTCATTAAACCAACATAGACTTTATATATAACAAAATGCATACAAGGAATCATAGCATTGAGGGAGATGTGTCTCTTGATTTAAAACAGAAACGAAAGATACCAAAGGGATACTCATTTTTTTTAAATCCAAAGAACTACTTTACATTTCATGGGGAAAAGAAAAACAAACACGACTAAGAAACAAAGAACAGAAATAAATATTACAAATGAACTGCAGTGTAATGACAGGTAAAATACATCCTTTTGAGTTGGAAATGTTGTTACCTAGTAAATGATTAAGAGTGAACATGATAAATATTTCTTAATTTTCAAATTAATTGATATCTTGAAATTTTCTTCAACAGAAGACGGTTTTAAAGCTGGATATGTAGCAGTTGCTTCCTTCACTGTTCTTCAGTTATTAACGAGTTGCATATGGCGCTGTGATAATATACGAAGAACAAAGAAAGGTAACGGAGGTAATGAAAATAAAATCA